CTTCCGTGTTACCGTGACTTCATGTGCCAAGCAGGGAACACAGACACAGCCAATTCAAAACCAAACCAGAAATGCCAAATTCACCCCCCATCTCTTTTATGGCTTGTCTTACTCTTATCAGAATTCTCAGCACCCGCCTCTTGTTTTGCAAAAGAGATCCAAGATCTAAATCAGAGGTTTTGGATTCAGTGTGCAAGATCAAAAAGTGATTGGCTGGGCGGTGGTGGCTGCACAAACCTGTGAATATAATTAGTGCCACTGGATTGAGTTTAGAAAGGGTTAAGGCAATCATGACACAAGTCTTGCCACATTGGAAATATATACGATATAGCAAAACCAGAGTTTTTATCTCCATCTTTGCCCACAGAGACCGGTGAATGATAAAACTGCATATGTAATGAGTATGTCAAAAAGGCTATTTATTAAACTTCTGCCTTAGGCATCCCAGGACTGATTTGTGCTCCCATCTCTGAGGATGCTTGGGGCCTGTATTGCCTGCATATGCAGTAGTACTGTGTAGTATGGCCAGGAGTATGCTAGTAAAGGGGGTTTGGGTATGCAAAAATTTTATTGAGGTATAATTCCCTCATTTAAAGTTTACAGTATGGCCCAGCCTCGGAGAGGGATAGTACAGTCCTGTAATTCCAGATACTTGGGAGGCGGATATGGGAGGACTGTAATTTTTAGGCTTGCCTGGGATACGGAGTGAACTCAAGGCCAGCCTGGGGAAATTAGCGAGAGCCTATCCGCAAAGGAAAAACAAAAGATGGCAAGGGGCAGAACTCAGAAGTAGAGTGCTTGCCTGGTGTGTGTTCCGTCCTAGGTTCATCTCCGGCACCACAGAACAGTAATCATGAGTAAATGATGGCAGGACATGGGTGTTAGAACATTCTCCTTACCCGACTCCTCACAAACAAACAAACAAAACCCCAAAACTCCCCACACTTAGCTCAGGCATTCTTCTTCCTTTCCATTCAGAAATTAGTCCATTTTCGGTCCCTAATGGAGTGTCCTATTCTAAACTTTTGATATAAATGGCATCATACAAATGTGACCTTTGTGGGTGACTGTCTTGACTTCTCATGATTTTTTTATATTGTATATGTATCAGAACCTCGTTCCTTTTGTGGCAGGATATTATTTCATTATAGGACTTTATCTACTAATTAAGTAATTAGTCAATTGTTTTCATCCAATACTAATAACTATTAAACAACCAATAATTTGAAAAAAAATTCCTGGAGGTGGGGAGATGGCTCCATGTGTAATATACTTGTCACCCAAACTGGTGAACTGAGCCTGGATCCCCTAACTGAGCTGGTTGCCCTAACATGAGCATCTGTAACCCCAAGGGCCTGCAGGGAACGGTAGGTGGAGGCAGGGCTCTCCACAAGCTTGTGGCCCAGCCAGCTTGACTTTCACAGCAGTGACGAGAACCTATCTCAAGTACAATGGAGAGGTAAGACCCCTGCACCCAAAGGATGTCCTCTGCCCTCCACATGTGCCATGGCACCCACATATCACATACACCCAAGCACATACATGTACGCGTACACACGCAACTCTCTCTCTCTCTCTCTCTCTCTCTCTCTCTCTCTCTCTCACACACACACACACACACACACACACACACACACACACACGGACAGAGAACAACTGACTGACTCGCTCACACTCTCAAATCCAGTCTTGGAACATTTGTAGACTGCACACACATTTCCATCATGGCTAACTGTAAGCTGTATGCTGAAAGTGGACATTCATTGGAAACATAGGCTAAAATAGGCTCTTGTAAGCCCCTATTAGCCAGTTCTAGCAAGCCATTAACCATCCCCCCTCACATGTCACTGAAGTGACCAGAGATGAGACTGTAGCCAGTGAGGTTTCCACACACCACTGATGATACAAATAAAGATTGATACAAATTAAACCAGCAGAATAGCTACTGTCTATTAAGCACTTCCTGTGATCTGGGCACTGTGCAAAACATTTTTTTTTTCTTTAATTCTTCATCACTACTTACTTTCTTGGCAGCTGTCAACTCCTAACTACCAGCATTCTGCTTCTGGCTCTCTGCCTGTAGCTGGCCTCATGCTGTTTCGCAGATACTCCAACCTGTTCCTTCTCACAATGTTGGAGCGTGCTTCTCCGGCCTGGTAGGCTGTTTGTTATTCAAGCTGTAACACACCTCATTTTTATAGGTTTCTGCTGAGCTGCCCCCTCCGCAGAACGACATCCTCCTCACCTCTTCCCTTTATCCAGTCCTTTTCTAACCTTTGCTCTTCATGTCACCTATCAGCGACATCCTGGTGTCCTGTGTATTTTCTTTGTTTTCCTTCACCCTGTGAGCACCAAACACACAATCCATGAATATGCTGAGCTTCACTAACTTGTATCTCTTTATTTATCTAGTCTTTAGAGACTTATTTATTTCCATTTTATGTGTGTGAGTGTTTTGTCAGTATGTATGTGTGGGCACCAAGTGTGTGCCTGGAGTCTGTGGAGGCCGCAAGAAGGCATTAGATCCCCAGAAACTGGAGTTAAAGATGGTTCTGAGCTGCCATGTGGGTGCTGGGAATCAGGTTCCTTGCAAGAACAGCAATGCTCTTGACTGCTACGCCTTCTCTCCAGCCCATTATTATTATTATTATTATTATTTAGACAAAGCATCTCATGTAGCTTTGATCCCCATAAGTCTAACTCCCAACTGCTGGGACTATAAAGTCCTGGGACTACATACCTGCTTTATGGAGTGTTTAGCATGATGCTTGCTAACCAAACATTCAACCAACTGAGCTCTATCCTCAACCCTGGATTATAACTTCAAAAGAGTGGCTAGAAAGCTTGGTGATTCACGCATCGATAAAGTCGCTACAAAACAACAAGAGCCCTTTCCTTCCTCCTGCTGGTCACAGTACAGCAGTGTTGTGTATGAGGCGAGAAAAACACTGGGGCCTTCCTTCAATCCATACTGGTGTTCTGGTTGCCAGGCTGCGTTGATTAAGCAGGGGCATTTGGAATTAAAACTTTAGAACAACATTTTTTTTTTTTTACTTATCGTGTGGGTGGGTGGGCTGCACTGAGATCAGAGAGTAATCTGAGGGAGTCCCTTCTCTTTCCACGTGTATCCTGGGATGGAACTCTGGTTGTCAGGCCGGGTAGAAAGTGCCTGTTCCCGATGAGCTGTCTCACAGCTGGCTTGGAACTCTTGAGCAAGTGTTCTCTGCCCCTGGTGTTGTCGGAAGGATACTTAGAAGATGCTCTACCTCATCAACCACCTTCTTTGTATGTTCTACATTCTGGCACAGGCGGGGGACAGTTCGGTGTCCTGTCTGAGTGTGTGCGTCCCTCTAGAGCCAAGTTAATGAGCATACGCCTCTTGGCTGTGAGTCCTGGGTTTATTTACTTAGTTTCCCAGCATTTTCTATCTTTAAAAAAGAGAAATAAGCCTCTGTGCCATAGGCCTCTTGAAAGAATTTAATTCCTATGCTAATGTAAGGTTTAATACACCTTGCCTACTCAGCTCTGATGTCCACTTACAGAAGACATCTACATTGGGCTGCCACTTGGAGCCTCCGGGAGTCGCTCCTTGCCTCCTTTGCCACTCTGGTCTACCACTCTCACCTCTAGCATTCTGGAAGGGTCTCCTATTCTGGAAGGGTCTCCTATTCTGGAAGGGTCTCCTATTCTGGAAGTGGCCCGGGTTCTGCATTTGCCTTGTTTCCCGCAGGAGCGGAGATATCCCTCCTTCAGGAAAGAAAGCATCATCATCACCCCGATCCTCTTTAAGATGCCAATGCGAAATCTTTTGTTAGCATGACTAACCAGATCCAAAGAACTGCCAGAGCAGGGCCAACCTGTTACAGCAGACATCTTGGTGCGGAAGCCCCAAGACGTTGTGACTTTTGAGAGAGAAGGAAGAGAAGGTAAGGACTCTTTGGTGAGAGGAAGAGAATCAATGGATCTAGTGCACAGCAGAAAAGGAGGCTTACGCCCACGGGTCCACGAGCCCCTGCTCCAAGGGGTCTCCCTAAAACAGGGTAACTGAGTTTTACACCCTCATTCAAAGTACAGCTCCCCTCCATCACCGAGAGAAGGGAGGGGGTAAGGATCTCCGAGTTTCGTTAAATTCAAGAATCTCTTACACAGGGAACTTCAAGGAAACTAGTTTGATTAAAATTTACTGCACGCCCACAGAGTGCTGGGCAGTCCGAGGAACCGAGCAAACTAAAAGTACAGTCTCATCCCAGAAAAATAAAACCCGGGCTGGCTCTGGGGACCCTCATTTCTTCGGAGTGCACTTTGGGTTCTGATCCTCACAGATCATCAATATTTCTCAGTACGTGGACTCCCACTGGGCTTCCCAGAGGCCTTCTGAAAAGCTGAAGGATTAGGGGGCGGAGCGGGGCGGGCTGGGGAGGTGAGGCTGCTAGGGCGGCGTGCGGGGCGTTTTGGGGGGGGGGGGGCATCTAGGTGCGTTCCCCACTCGGAGCTGCGCAGAGACTCTTCCAGGAACCGCCTGGCACCCTGGGCCGTGGACTTTGGCTGCTGTGCGTCCCATCTGCTCCTCTCCTCCTACCCCCCGCAGTCTCGGAGCCTCACTCCGGGGCGTGTCCTGCCTACCTCCGGCACACAGTGGTCTACTCTGCCGGCTCCAGCGGCGGGCGGAGCGGCGGCTTGCGGGAGCTGGAGCAGCGGTGGTGCGAGCCGCCCAGGAAAGCAGCGGTGGCAGCGGTCGGCGCTCTGGGCCGAGCCGGCACCTGTCCGGAGCAAGAGGAGCAAGGGTAGGGTGGGTGACAGCGGCTTTGAACCTCGGAAGAAGTTGGCACCACCCAGCTGGGATCCTGCTGTTCCTATCAACCTCCTGCTGGCCCTCAGGGAGGTAGCACGGAGCTGGGGACACCGGTGTGGGCAAACATGTGCAGAAACAGCTAGAGGCCCTGGGACAGGTTATCGTGTGGTCCAAGAGCAGAGAGACAAGGCAAGGGGCGCCTTGGACCATGGCAGCCTCCAGCCTGGACTTCGGGGAGGTGGAAACTTTTCTGGATAGGCATCCAGAGTTGTTGGAAGACTATTTGATGCGGAAAGGGAAGCAGGAGCTGGTGGACAAGTGGCTACAAAGGCACAGTCCGGGAGAGGGGGCTTCAGGCCTGAAGCCTGCCCTGGCTGGCACTGGCAGCTTGGCTCAGGGTAGTGGCAGAGGCAGCACTGGGAATGCTGGTGTTGCTGGACCACAGGGCTCTGCTAACAGCCATCCCATGCCCAGTGGTGGGGAAAGTGCTGGGGTTCCCCTGAGCCCCAGCTGGGCCAGTGGCAGCCGGGGCGATGGGAACCTGCAGCGGAAAGCTTCGCAGAAAGAGCTGCGGAAGAGCTTTGCCCGCTCCAAAGCCATTCATGTGAACAGGACCTACGATGAACAGGTGACCTCCCGGGCCCAGGAGCCCATGAGCAGTGTCCGGCGGAGAGCCCTGCTCAGGAAGGCCAGCTCTCTGCCACCCACCACAGCCCACATTCTCAGCGCCCTGCTGGAATCGAGGGTGAATCTGCCTCAGTACCCCCCTACGGCCATCGACTACAAATGCCACCTCAAAAAGCATAACGAACGCCAGTTTTTTCTGGAACTGGTGAAGGACATTTCCAATGACCTTGACCTCACCAGCCTAAGCTACAAGATCCTCATCTTTGTCTGTCTCATGGTGGACGCTGACCGTTGCTCTCTCTTCTTAGTGGAGGGGGCAGCTGCTGGCAAGAAGAGTTTGGTCTCCAAATTTTTTGATGTGCACGCAGGAACCCCACTCCTCCCATGCAGCAGCACAGAGAACTCAAACGAGGTGCAGGTCCCCTGGGGCAAAGGCATCATTGGCTATGTCGGGGAGCACGGAGAGACAGTCAACATTCCTGATGCCTATCAGGTAGGGCTCTGCTTGTCCTCTGGTCCACAGCCCCAGCCTGGCATCCGAACCTCCCCTCATCCTTTGACAACCAGGACCACTTTTATTTAGACCCTTTGCAATACAGTCTTGCTATTTGAGTTCCTTCCAGAGTTTAGTTAGAGAGTGATATTATCTTTGATGGAATGGTCTTTTCCTAACACAATGGCTTATGGGAAAATTCTGCATCACTCAGTAACTCCACATGTATCTCTGTCAAGATACTATCCCTAAGAACAGGTCTTATGGTTTAAATGCATCTGTGAACTGCTAGAAAGAAGATTATCTTCTAGAGCCCCAGTGATCCTGAAGAAAATGGGTGTTTTGTGTCTCTGGGGTTTGCCAGGGGGTGGGGGGATGATAATATTCCGTATTGTATTTCAAGGTTAGAAGGTGAACAGAGAACCTAACTCTGGGATGCCTGCCTTTTCTCTAGTAAATTTGCATGAGTTCCAAGACAGGAAAGATGGGACAGACTGACTCTCTGGCCCATTCAGCTCTTCTTCATGTCTGCTTCAGTGGAGTTTAGAGAGGCTGGACAAATAAAGGGACTCAGTTATCTTCAAGCCTGGATATAGCAGTCAGTTTTAGATGGAAGTGGGCAAGCAGGTTTTCAGTTTGTAGAATACCCCCATTGGTATAGGGGTTTGTTTTTTTTTTTTAAAGCAATTCCCAAGGCAATAGGCACAGCAAACATGCTAGATTCAAGTGGAAAGGCAAGCCCAGCGTGTTGCTGTGTGGTTTTTCTGACTTCGTTTTGACAGTGATTTGAACTTGATACGAGATTGTTGAATCTGAAAGTTCTCATTCTGTCAGTCCCTGAGGGGTGGAGCTGGGTGTCATTCTCTGTGAGACTTTCTCCGAGTTCCTAAGAATTTAAAGTTCTCACCCTTGCTTCTATGGTTGTTTTATGTCTATATCTTTGTCTCATGGAGACATATGTTTCTCTAGAGTTTGGATGCCATTGAGTACAGTAGCAAAAAATGTGGGAAGGACTTTTTTTTTGCATTTTTTCCTGTTTCACCTGCAAGTTTATAATTTTACATAGACCAGCTGAACTGAGCTAAACCCAAGTCTCATATATTTGTGACATGTCTGTCAATACGATCCTTTAACATTAAGGAGATCCTGGGAAAGTGTTTTATTTTGTTAATCTTTTGTTATTCACTATGTTCTTCTTAAAGACCTTGACAAGTTGAGGATCAGCAACCTAGTTATGATTTTCAATAAATGTCAATTTCTCTATGGTCCTAAAAAGTCATGGGAAGAAATGAAAACATTTAGTAATTGATGTGTTGAAGAGCCTGTACGATCACACATCTTTTTCCTCTCTTTCCACACCCATGTTGTATATGTGAGCTACAAAAGACCCTCCTGAACTGGAGGATACTCGTGCAACCCTGGGCAGTAGTCTTTTTATTGCCTTTAAAATTATTATTCATTCATAATTGATTTTCTCCTATTTCTATGACTTTTTAAAAACTATTCTCTTTCAGCTCATAACTTTCATTGGATATTGTTCATACACAGCACTTTCAAGGCTAGAGTTCTTGGCACCCTCAGCCAGCCTTGCTGAGGCCTAGGATTGGGACTGTGGAGGCCATGACAGGCAGTGCCAATCGGGTTTTCAGTGGCTGTGGCTCCCTGCGAGCTCAGCCCTTACTCTGCAGTCAGGGTGTAAAGCAAGTTGCCTCTTTGTATTTGGAAACTGACATGGGAGAAGGGAGCTTTTTCTTTTCCCGTTTCCCCCGGGGCAGTGACAGTGGCTATAAATAAGACAAGCTTGTTGGAGAGCTGAGAAGGGAAGGTAGGTGGAAGGTGCTACAGGGAGCTCAAGATCTTGGGCCACTTTAGTTTCACCTGTTTTGGGCGAGAATTTCTTGTTGTTGCTGCTGTTATTATTATTGACTTTGCCATTGACTTCTGCTCTGTCGTTGTGTGCTTTTAGTTGTTTGTGTCTTCTTTCATTTTTACTTATGATGCTCTCTGATGAAACTGCTTTTTTCCCTTTTTGTGTTAATACATTGTCATCATGATTAGTTGAGCCTAAAGAGAATTAATCTCACTGCCTCCATTTCTCCACTCACAAAGTGGCAACAATGCTCCTATCTGGCAAAGGGTGGCTTTTCTGTGGACACGAAATGAGATGCTGCACCAAAGCCCCTAAGACTGTACCCGGCACGTGGCAATTATTTAAGAAATGGCAACCATCTGTGGTGATGGTGGTGGTGGTATCCGGTTTGTCTGTATTCTTGTTTCCCTCCTTTCAAGTGTTCCCCTCATCTGAGACTGGGCACATTTGAGCAGTCTAATCTTTCCCTGATCCAAGCTCCGCCTTCAAAGCAACTGTTTTTGAGCCAACATTACATTTAAGGAATATGTAAATAGATGTCCTTCTATTCTGAAGAGTCCCTTAAGTGTCATTGATGACAGCCAATCATATCCTAGCCTAGCCAGAGCTCTGTGCTTTGTTCCCCCAGGTGAGTTTCGCAGACCTGAATTGCTGCTGCCCCCTTTGCCTGTTCTAGCATTTCCCCCATCTTTTCCCTTCTCTGCACTTACAGATGTCTCAAAAAGAAGACTGGTCCTTCCAAGGTCTAACTTTAATAAAAGTTAGTTTATGTTCATGGGTGCATGTGTCTGCGCAGAACATACGTGCAGTGCCCACAGGCCAGAAAATGGCATTGAATGTGCTGGATCTAGACGTTCAGATGTTTGCCATCTGTCATGTGGATGCTGAGAACTGAACCCCAGTCCTCTGGAAGATCAGGGTTCTTAGCTGCTGAGCCATCTCTCCAATCCCACATTTGACTATAATTCTGCTGCATTAATTCTTCTGTCTGTAAACATCTTGAAGTCTCTATGTAAAAATATAGCCATCCTTCTTGATTCTTTATAAGCCCAGAGAGTTAAAAGTGTGTCTTGCTCAAATCCAGTTAGTGCTCTTTTTTCTACAGAAGAATAAAATTCTATCATGCAGAGTTTCAAAAATTTAATTATTGGGTAATTAGGTTAATGATCTTAATCACGTGAGAAAGAAAAAGGCATTAAAGCCACTTACACAATTATGATGATGAATATGGCATCCTGAAGTCAAGAGTAGACTATATAATGAGATACTAAGGTTGAATAGGAGTCTGGCAGCAAAACTAAACCTCCTTCGCTCTCACTGTTTTACATCGCGTTTCTTAGTTGGTCCTAAAAAACAGGATTGAAATTGGGGGAAAAAAATAAAGACTTGCGGGTGGAAAAATACATGGCTTTTAGGTATCCAGTTTGATCACAGTGACTATAATTTACCTTTCTTCTTTGACAGTTATAAGTTATTAAACAACCCACTTTAATATAGTAATGAATAAATTGCCCTCCAGAGGTTGCAAATAAGAACGCTTAAGTAACAGGTGTTCCCTTTGAGATAATTCCAAACGCCCAGAATACAGCACGTTAGACCTTAGTAAAAAGTGTGAGATGAGATGAGTCTGTGTCAGTGTTGATAATGACGACACAGGTGTCTGCCGGGCTTGGGAGAACTGAGAGGAGGCAAGGGGATGATGCAGGACAGTTCCAGGTGTGCTGGGCTTTCTGTTTACACAACAGAGTCACTAATTCGTCAGATCCCACAGGCAGGCAGAGAGCCCATTCTAGTCGTGGGTGTACAAAGGCGAGAGGGCATGCTTGCTTCCTGTACCCCAAGCCTCCAAGCAGTGAGCTCTGAGCTTTCTGCTACCCTGTACTCGAATGGCAAAGCTGGATTGCGTCTCTTTCACAGTCACCGCATGCCCAGGTTGGTGTAGAGGATTCCCTGAAGGAGGCACCACACTAACTGTTCAGGACGGTCAGGTTTTCCGGCTGGAGATGATTTTCAGGCTTGTGGAAGCGTTTTAGGTTCTATGAAATCTCTTCAGACAAAAGAGTGAAGTGTAAGCACAAAACGCGTGTTTTAACTCAGCTAAAATGACTGCATGTGCTATATGTAGTTCACGTGTGCAAAAGTGAGTGGAGGACACGAGGATCTCGAGTATCTGATAAGAGAAGCTGTTGACAGTAGGCCACAAGAAGCTCCTTGGCGGGATGCAAACGGCACATTGAGTAACTGGGTGGCAGTGACTGAGGAATGGAGCAGAGGAAGGCATGAAGCTGGGAGAATAATTGGGAGTGTGTTACGATGGTCTGGCAGAGCCATAATGAGCAACTCAACTCCAACAGAGATGGGCATTGGGGGGACTGGCACCAAGGAACAGATGGGAGGATGTGTCCCGTGGGTGAGAATATGGGTGTGGGGGAGGGTAAATCAGTGGTGATTTGGGGAGTCTAAGCTTGAGAGATAGGGGGAGGGTAACAGCTTTATCAGACATAGGAGGCATGGGGATACGGTGACCCATTCCTGCAACCCCAGCCTCCGTGCATACAATCTGATTGGTTGCTCTAAGTCTACCTACTGCCTTTGAGGTCAGCCTGGGCTACAGGATGGGACCCTTGCTTGACACAAAGTGAAGCAAGCAAATAAATAAAACCCCAACCAGAGAGAGGAGCCAGGTTAACAGAACAGCTCTGTCATTTGTGGAGTTGAGTGTAAAATGATGGCACCGAGACACCAGCCTCCCGTTCCCAAGAGTCTGCGCTCCAAACCACAGCCACTTCTGGGCAGAAATCCTAAATGATCGCAACTGCCAGGCTGAGAAGTTCTCGAATCTGGCCTGGGGTGGGTGAGAGACCCTGGATGAATTGCCTGCTGAATGATCCCTGGTGCCTCTAGCTCAGGGTGGAGATGATCACAACCTTGTTCCACCCTGAGCTGCCACGGGACACACGGTTGTTTCCACACAGACCCCACTCAGGAGCAAAGAGCTACAGCCGATGCGGCATACAGGCTCCTCTTCCCCTAGAGACAACCAGGTTTCTGTGCCTATTTCCAGAGCAAAGGGAAGAGGAGGCAGTCTGGATGGGACCTGGTACGCTAGGGAGCGAAGGTCAGGTGGCCA